TTTTTAAAGTATAGAAAAAATGTTATCAATAAAAAAAGCTAACATGAGAAATATCTTTTTATCAAATCTTTTAGATAGGAAGATAAAATAGGAAAACAAACTAGAAGATAAATACTAATTCAGATCTTAGGTTGGTGCTTGAAACGGTATCATAGTTTTCTATATATACGTAAGACAAAGTTCATGAAAAAATTATGACTTGTAAAATGTTTCTAAGACTCTATTTAACAATATTGTTGTAACCATATATAAATAAGACTGTCTCCATGTAGCACACACATGCAACAGTCTAATTACTTAAAATTCCATCTCTTGGGTGATTTCAATAAAGGTCTAGGCCATTCAGATAGCTCTCCTCCCTAAAGTCTGGAACTCTTCCCCGAACTGCAGACCTGTATATCAAACTACTTCCTCAACATCTGCCCCTGGATGCGCAGTAGAAAGTTAACATGTTCATGAGCTCTCTCTCCAAATATATGCTTCTAGTCTTCCTCATTTCAGTACCATGCAAATGAAGCAACATGTACTTGTTGCTCGGGGCCCAAAACTCTAGTCATTCTGGCTCTTCCCCTTCCCTTACTACGAGATGGCTCTGACCCAAGTGAATTCTGTGGCCTCGAGCTTCAAACACATTCAGAACCTGAACATTACTACACTGGTCTAAGACACCTCTCACCTAGAGTATTCCTGACAGTTCTCCCAGTTTCTAACCTTTGACCTCCTGTCCCATTCTCTCTCTACACAGTACCCAGTGACTGGTAAAAGTCACTCTGCTTAAAACCTTCCAGAGGCTTCCTACTTCAGTCAAATAAAAATCAAAGCTCTCTTCTGACGCAAGGCACAGTTCAGGTTCCAGGGAGGCCGAGCTGAACTGGTCCCGCCTCAGTGTCCGGTAAAACTGGAGTCCGACCTGGAGGCACGCAGCGAAGAGCGGTGCGGCTCGCAGGAGGCGCTCCTGCTGCCCCATAACCATCTGGTGTCGCTGCCGCGGGCGCTGGGCAGTTGCTGCCCGCGCTGGGACCAGAGCTGCTGGCGCTGAGCGGACTTCGCACATTGCTGGCCAGGAACAACGGGCTCTGCGGGCCGGGTGCGCTGCCCAAAGGTTTGGCCCAGTCGCCGCTCAGCCGTAGTCTCCAGGTGCTCAGCCTCAGCGGCAACTGCTTCCAGGAGATGCCCGCCTCGGTGCTGGGGCTGCGAGCGCTGCAGAACCTCAGCCTGGGGGGCAACCAACTACAGAACATCCCGGCCGAGACCGAGAACTTGCAGAGTTTAGAGTGTTTACATCTTGGAGGAAACCTCATCAAAGAAATCTCACCGGAATTAGCAAATCTGCCTTCTCTGAATTACTTGGTATTATGTGACAACAAAATCCAAAGTGTGCCTCCTCAGCTTTCACGGTTGCATTCACTTCGTTCCCTCAGTCTCCACAACAACTTGCTTGCTGACATACTTGCCCCGAGAGACCCTCACCCTTATTCATTTGGAAGAGTTGAGCTTACGAGGAAATCCACTGGTTGTTTGTTTTTGTTAAAGATTTAACCCACCACCCTCCAACTCTCCTGGAATTAGCTGCGCGGACCATTAAGAAGCGAAATATTTCCTACACTCCTATGATCTTCCTGGGAATCTTCCTAAATACTTGAGTTCAGTCAGCAATTGCCCAAACCCAAAGTGTGGTGGAGTCTACTTTGACTGTTCTGTCACACAAATTAAATTTGTGGACTTCTGTGGGAAGCATCGCCTCCCGCTGATGCACTA